CTCGACGTACGGCTTGCACTTGACATACTAATATGGTATGCGCAGCTGTAGAATGGCGACGTCGCGTCTTGATTTATTATTTACCCTCTGCTAGTGCGACGATGTTATGATGGTAATAGATTGCTTACAGCTATTTATCAATAAACAAGCAGTTTATTGGTCACGTGATAATATGACGCAGATTGCATGAAGGTCAGAAAACAGTAGCAAAACTAAAAACATAATCAGAATGACCTGGTGAACTGCAATCCCCTGTGGCCCTTTTGGTAAGGTGGTCAATTTAATGTTCTACAGGGACTATGTTGAAGCATTTGCATGTAGTTAGTCACCTGAACAGAGCCTACCTGCATATATATGCAAAAGTAACACCACATCAACATTGATTTACATTTTTAAATGTCAAAATAATATATAGGTTGCAATATCTTAAATGGATGAATTTTGGTGCATAATAACGATATGCCAAATTTTACTCATCTAATTAATAATTTCACCTCTAAAGTTATAAAAACTTTTGATTAATTTTATATCTTGAAAATGACATCTTTTAATACAATACAATCAATAAAACATAATTTCCAGATTCGTTTAAACTCAATTCGTCGATATTACCATGGCTGAGTTTATAGAATAAAATACGTTACAACGAGAAGCACTAAAAGTACTGCCCTTCAAGGTAGCAAAAGTGAGACGTATAGCCTTTATATTCAAGATATTGCACTTAACATTGACTTATCTTAACAGTGACTTGCTATATAACACTCCCAGAATACGCCGATTTGTTACACCCGTAAAACTTTTCATTTAGATATAGAAATAGCTTATATCAATCATTGCAACTATTTCGTAACTTCAAAATTACGTCATCACTAACAATCATTCTAAAACTCCTCTTTCAGAATTGCTATTCTCGAATTTTAAAATCCAATAAAAGCCGCTTTAATTTACAACATATAAGTGTGTCTCTATAAACCATATGCCTGACATTGACATGGTGCTACTACATAGAGATAATCCGTTATCAAGAGGATTTCAAATACTAATTTCAAATGAGCTGGGTGTATATTGATCCCTCGACGAATGCGGTTTAACTACAAGTACATTTAATAATGAGAGTTTTGTACTCGTCTCGATTCACGCGGACATCATGGAAAACTAATAGTTAAATTTAATGTAATTCCAACGTGTTTGAATGTGGTAACAAGAAAAATATAACCAATTTAAACAGGGTTAAGCCAGCAATGATGAAATCTAAATCAGACCCTTCTTCAATTCATTGGATGAAATCCAGAATCGTGAAAACTATCACATTCACTACGACTGCGAAAGCAAAATGGGATTAAAACATGAAAATAAATGTTACTGTATATTAAAATGCCGCCGGTTACAGAGTTAGTATAAGTTTGGCAATCTAATCGAAATATTTTTTTATCAGTACTGATTACAATTCAGCCATATTCACACGAGAACAATACGCAATTTACTTCGTCAGCAAAAATAAATTGTAAACGAGAAAGTGTAATGAAAGCGTCAATTGGCCGGACAGAAATTTCAAAAAACGTCAAGACATTAGGTTAAAAAAACTACTGTATTATAATTTTTAAAATATAAATAAATCTTACTACAATATGACATTATCATATAACTACTAATATTTCTGGGTAAACTATATGCAGTCAACACCACTACGAATATACAGAGAACTGAATTTAAAAAATTAAAATTAAAGATATTCGTCTACATTCTACAAGTTCTCATTATGGATATTAATTATGTAAATCAGGTTTTTGGGGTGAAGTTTTCTATTTATTCAGTAAAATCGCGATTTTCAGAATTTCAGAATACTTGATATTTCACATATGGACATCCCCTGCTACTAACATATCTGACTGTCAATATCGCAGAAAGCGAAATTCCTTCGCGATGATGACATTCAATTCCGGTGGGGGCGATCGTATTTCTTTCTTATAATCGCAGACGAATGTCAAATATTTCGGGAAAGTCATCAACACATTTTCCCTGGGTAGCCATTTTGTTAAAAAAAAATCCGTACATTTTAGTCGAATCTCGGCGTAATTTTGTAAACTAACAATAACAACTATCAAATCAATTTGTAAAATCACAAATTGTCATATTTTTCGAAAAAACTACTCTACTTTTAGTCGAAATTTTGTGTACTTTTGAAGGCTAACATGACTACTAGTAACTCCAACAAGTATACGCCTTCTACGGCACGCGTCACAGCAAATGTACAAATTAGTGTTTGTTGTTTTTCGTCACGCTCCGTTTAAACCATTTTACAAGTTTTAAGATCAACTATTTCTTCTAAGTCAAGCCCAGTTTCGCCGCAGGATCACGGTCTATTAACCTGAATAAAGTTGGCGGTTCTTCAAACACCAAACAGGGTGAAGGTGATTTCAATGTCAGAAGAGTAAAATTAAGTTCTATAATGTTAGCAAAAAAGTTGTGATCATTAACTGGACTATCTTGGAAGCAATGACTCTACGATTCGCTCTATTAATTTGAAATGGATTTGGCAAAATTTGGCTTAAACTGAATTCGAAAATTATGCTTCGAAAATTGTGCTTCGATAAAATAATATAATAAAATAATAAAAAATATATATAATGTAAAATTTGAAAAAATAAATATTCGACGCTATTCACGTCATTCGCTCATAACAAGGCATATTGAGCAGTCAAAAATCAGCCACGATATGTGAGGCGCTACTCTTCATTAAAGACCCACATCTCTACTTGGCAACAAGCTGGTTTAAATTCGCGTTCATTATAGTATTTATACCAAATGCAAGTAATTGTGCTGCAAGTTTATAACAGTATACGTTCGAACGAAATGAAAAAAAAAATTCCAAGATGAACAAGGTTGTAAAATGTGATAGCAGACAGAATCGTTCCTAAGTTAATTAAGTGTCGGATATCAAAGACTCTAAATTGGGCAAAAGTATAAAACGATACATTTGCTTGCACAGTAGAAGATATATTTTGCAATTACGGTAGTTGGTTTAAAAATTTACAGTATACAAAAGTATATAATATATAATACTAAATCACCGTAAGTAATGACCAATGATTTGTTTTTGATAATTGTTTTTCTCTTGAATCTACAATTGCCATTGTTCTGAATTGAAGGCTGTTTTCTAACCTAAATTAGTACCTCGACAATACTTAATTTGAAACTTCGCTATATAGAATTGCATTATATATTACCTGAGAAAAATATTGGAATTCCAATAAAAAATATAGATACAAAAAATAACATTCATTTTGCTGCATACCTATTGCTAGCTACACAAAACACATTACACAAAATTCAGAGCTTATTCATTTAAAATTCACAAAATTCATTTAATAGGAAAGTTTTTCACTACTCATACACAGCACCTTTAAAACCAAAAACCAGTTTTTCACGCTGCACTTGTTTACGTTTCCTGGTAAAAATTTAGTAGATAGAACGCTGTTCCCGCATGTATGATGCCACCATAAAAGCAGTTCATTAATATTTTATTCAAAACGGCGCCAAGTATTCACAAATTATCTCTGAAATATCCACACAACCTATAATTAAACGACCATATTTTCTATTTTCGGAATGTTAATCGGGATATCATAGGCATACATTGACGTATTATACGTAAAAATTAAGCTGAGCGTTTACTAAAACGTAGATTAGCATAGAAATATAGTTAAATGATACAAGACGACTGTAGTAAAGTGCACTTCCCTGAAAACGCGATAAACATAACATAATAAATTTTTAAAATATGCCAATTTTCATTACCCGACCAGTCCGGGAAAACCGATACTTCGTCGATCAGACGAGATTTTACAATAAATGAATAAATCTTGATATTATATTCGGAAAGTTGTACGTTGTGAGGTCTGAGTTAGCAGTATCCGGTATTTATCGAGACCAAACCCTGATTGAATGCTGCTATGTCAAAAATCTCCTGGAATTACCCACCGACTATTAAACGACAAGGTAGAGAAATTAGTATCTCAACGTTGTCCACACTAGGAACTGCCACTTCCATTTTGCCAATACACGTCTACAAATCTGCAGTCTCGTCTACGTTACCATATGTTGTCCCGAATAAAACGAACTGGATGTTAAACATGTCATCGAAATTGCACAATTCGTGTGGTAAATAATACACAAGCAACTACACTCCCTTCCTCGCTCCCAAGGCACAAATACTCCCTATAAAATTACGCCCATAATTGAAAATTCGAACATTATCTTAACTCATACTATAAATACTCATACTATAAACTAGACCCATACTAAGTTTGATTTATCAATGAATCACACCACAAATTGTCGGTATATTGTATTTGAGTAAACCTACAAGATGTCGTCTGCGTGAGGAACGTAACAGTTGGGTGTTATATCGCAAATTCGAACACAATTAAACAGCAATCAAGTCGATAAATTACGTTTAAATATCACCAACTGAACACACCGTGTGTCGGCACATTTATCAATAAGAAAGAAGTTTAAACTAAGACGAAAGTGATATTTCATTAATGAAATTATATACTGCCGATCGATATTCTGCTAACTTTAATTTGAAGGGTTTCCCAGACTCGCCATCAATCCAACCAATGACTGCCTTACTCAACTATACACAACTAAAATCTTTCTTCGAGTTCTAGATGAAATTTTATAACCTGACTCATATAAAAATTCTTAATCCAATAGTATCACGATTACGGTAAATAAAAACAATCCAAGAGCCAAACTCCAATGCACTGCGATAGCTTAACACTTTTATATCGAAATCAATACCGAAGAACGGCTCGTGCTCGACTCAATGGAAAAACAATACGCTACCCTGTTATGTGAATATCAAATGTCTTTTTGATATTTTAATAACAAAAATATGTAGAGAATTCGACATTTCAATTCCAACAAATGCTTTGCACTGTAACGTCTTAGAGACTAATATCGATCAAGTGTGATTTAAATTTGAATCGCTCTATGAAGCACAAATTATTCACATCCCATGCTAGAACATCATTACTTTCAGAAATAACCAATTATCTAAGTAAAAATAAATGTAATTTCGGTGGCATTAATACAAACATTATGTAAATTCTTTTATTTCAAATGTGTGATATACCAAGCGTAAAGCAAATACCATTGGGGTAATAATATTACGCTGTCGTGATCGTTTCTTGGAAAATCAAATGAACAACTGGCAGACGGTATATTGAGAATTTTCTAAGAAATAAGAATACTGGTGCATTGCTTTCTTCAATGATCATCATAAGGTTGCATATTATGTGGATTGTCGAAGACCTAACAAATTTAGATTTTCGTACAATGTAGTTTAAAAGTTCAATTATCTGCCTAGCCCTGATAGAATTGTCGTAAGGTTTTCATATACCCCTCCCCTTTTTTATGCCTTTTCACAGCAAAGGTGAGGCAAATTTTATTCACTTTTAAGATTTAAAGTGAATTTAATACTTGTATATACTCCTACTTTAGAAATTCCTAATTTTCCTCAAGGAAAAGCCCCTCATCACATTTACAAGCTCTACACCTCCTGCAGTTACATAATGTTCTAAGACAAGAGTATCAAAGTGCTTCGAAATTAATCATCTGCTTTCCCAGAGTCACATCACATGACCATGACAACAAACTCTGTAAAATCCACCTAAATTAGTCATTGTAAAATCTAGGGCTAGAGAGCTGGAGCCTGAGCTTGGAAAAACGAGCTGTGATATTTCAGTGAGCTGGAGGCCAGAACTGAAGCCAAGCTTACTATACCAGATGGAGCTGGATCGGGAGATGGAGCTGCCAGGAATTTTAGTGGCTCCAGCTCCTCCTAACCATACAATTTTTGGTGCTCCCGAAGTATGCGCACCGAGATGTCGCTCAACCTGAACCCTAACCTGGTACACAAGCTGAGTTCAGTTTGTGCGCCATCTTGGTGCGCATATCTACAGGAGGTCCCAATTTTATTTTTCACATTAATAATTTTGTAATAAATTCAATTTATAATACTAATTTGTTAATTTCAAGTTGAATTTGTATATCTAAAACTTTAAAAATAGATTTCACAGCTTGGGCTTATGTTTCATTGTAGTGTTAATACCAGAAAACATTGATGGTATGGAGCTGAAACCAAAGCTGTTCATGGCTCTGGGGATGAAAAATAGAGCTCCGGAACTGGAGCCAGAGCGGTTGTTGTTTCTAACCCGCTCCTAGCCCTGGTAAAATCTATTTTTTTTTGTGGTGAAATAAAACCCCAATATCCTTTGATTGAAAAAAAAATTAAAATGTATTCATCTGCATCTAATTTAGAAATTTTCACAAATCCATCCATACTAAGAAGCATTGTAATTTGTAAAAACTATAAATTTATAATAAGCAAATCTAATACAGGCAAAATGAAATTGGAAGTGTAGCAAGTTTAATGATAGCGATAAACCAGACAGCTATTTTGATTATACTTGAGCAATATACACAAAATAATATAGACTTCCAGATTGAAATGAAAATCTGTGGAGCCCTAAGGTGTTGCAGAACGTTGGTTGAAAACCACTGCGCTAAACAAACATGACCATAAAAAGGATTAATATAATATTCTTACTTTGTGAGCCAGGCGATCTTTTTCTACTTTTGTCAAGTACAGAATAAACCGGTTCAGGATTGCTGGAACGAGGTGGTGTTCGGCCCTGTCTGGCTTTTCTTGCGTTTTCAGGAGTGAGTTTCTCACTCTGAATTCTTCGTAGAGAATCCTAGAAATCAGTGAAACTTTTACAAGAAGCTATAGCTGGGATACACTATTCAAAATAGATTGACTTAATGACTTTACCATGGTACAGTCTATCCTGTACACGTAAAGTACATTGTGCCTTATCAGGGACGTAGGACGGATTTTTTAAAAGGGGGGGGGTCTGAAATTCATAAATTTATATGTAGAACAGCTGGCGGGTCTGGCCGGGGCTGAAAAAACCTGGGTTTTCGAGATTGTTAAGGGTGTAAAAAGCGCTTCAATCTATAAGAAATAGCATCTATGATACAGAGAAATGGGTTGCAAATGGGTTGATGAGGATACCATAAGTAGGGCATTGTTCTAATAATCGAAATATTTTTGACACATAGAATAAAGATTGTATTCCACCCCGGAATTTCATAGTTGATTACAATATTTTACTCAAACAAATAGTGGTTAGGTTACTAATATAGGTTTCGTATTATCAATGAACACCCTCTCATTTCTGAAAAGAACAGTACGAATTGTCGAACCAAAGATTTTATTTCATTAGTTGAATTTAATTATACCGGTAGTCACACTGATTTTTCAGGGAATCAGAATTCAAAAAATTAATATTTGATTTTCCAGATTTAATATATGGAAAATAAGGCATATCAAATGCTTTATTATATTAAAAGAAAGGTGAATTACACAATTATTCTTTTTAAATAGCATTTATCTATTTTTCTGACCATTTTGACATTAACACTTAGACACAAGGGAATCATTTGACAATCCCATAAACTTACAAAAATAATAGTGTTGAATTTTGAGATATTATTTCTAACTGTGTATTGAACAGAAATATGCAAACAAATGTGGATTTTCTAACCTTTTTTCCTAAACATTGAAGAGTTAGAATCACCTATAAATATATTGTTTCTGCAAGTTATATCACTGACTAGTCAAGAAACAAGAATCAATATGCAAAGAAATAATGCTACTCTAATGCCACCCAGAGGCAGAAATTTCATCGAGCTTTTATCATACACAGTTAATGAAATTTGCAATGAGAAAACTAAACCTTGGAGTAAGAATATGGCTTTTTATGTATGGCTGGTTTTAGGATGGGAGGAAAAGAAGCTTTACTTCTGAGAAGTTAAATTTTCAACTGAAGCGAAAGAAGCTGAAATTGAAATTTTGCGGGAGCTGATGACAATTATTGAAGTCAGTATTGGAATCGGGTTAAGCCTAAGACAAAAGAAGAAACCCTATTTTTATGTTCAGGTTATTTACACAAGAACATTCACAATTAAAAACCGGTATTTTACCTGCTTTGCTTGATTAGGTTCCCGAGCACTAAGATTTCTTGTTAAATTGGTAGATACCTGTCCTCTATGAACCGGTGAAGCTGCTGTTTTTGTTATGGGGGGTGGCGAAGGTGAGTGTCTCTGATGGGGTCTAGGTGACTTGGGCTGAGTGAGTTGTGGTGATTCTGGTCTGAGTGATGAGACTGGGGGTGAAGTTGCAACTGAGGGTGGTTGATGGGTTAAGGTTCCCTGAGAACAAGAAAAAATATTTATAAATATGAAATGAATAAGAGAACAGTGCTAAAATATATGACCATGACAGTCATGCGCCCACTGCAATTTCCACAGAATTTTAACCAAATGTTGAAAAAAATCGTAATAAATGTCATATGAAGGTGTGTCTGCCTATTATAAACAGCAAAATGGGGTGAAATATCATGCCCCATAGGAAATAAAAAATGGTAAAAAATAGTCTTTTAGCAATTTTTTCCATCGATATGCAGTGCAAATTTGAAATTGATTCGTTCATTAGTTACGTAGTGCAAATTTGAAATTGATTCGTTCATTAGTTACAAAAAAAGGAAGTTAGTTACTATATATCCCCGCATATAAGCAGAGTTTAAAACTCAAAAAAAAGTTCAGTATATACTCTCATACTACGATCGCACTAAAAATTCAGTTATATGCGCAAAACTCTGAACGCACTCAAACGAAATAGAATGACATTATGCAAATCTAATTCCAACCGCTACAACTCGAACCAAGTTCTCACGATAAGAGCGTACGATTTGTAGGGTCAGCTTATATGTGCTGTTTTAGGGTCGTTTTTAGCGGGTGGGCTCATATGCGAGGATATACTGTTTATGAAAATGCAATTTTTCGCACAGCAGCAACAACAATCTCAATGAGAAAAACACAACCATTTTGCAAATCGAACCATAGGTACCAACTTGTGTCCAGTTATAAAAAGTGTGTTAAATGCATATACTGTGCTTCAGATTAGGGCTGGGAATGGTTAACCGGTCAACTGATTTCACATGGTTAACGGTTACGATTTATTTTAACCGTTAACTGACATCTCAGGTACAAATCATCTTTATAATGTACAATTCTTTCAAAAATGATCACGTCAGAGCAAATTTATCTCCTGTGGCGTTTAATTCAGAAGAATATCGCTAACTGTATTGGTGTGGACCTAATAAATGTGAAAATATTTGAAGTTTCGTAAATAATTTTGAGCGATACAAGCTAAAACTGTAAATTATTATGTAAAACGTTACGCTGCGGTAAACCGGTTAATTTTACCCGGCGAGCGGTTGAAGTGTTTTCCCTGAAATTCCCAGCCCTACTTCAGATACATATGTTTTCGAGTAAATACAAAAATTAGATCACGAAAGTATACATACTTTTATCTTCCTCAAAAAAGAATGTTTAGCTTTCAACTTTGTGTCTTTCTTATTCAATAACTCCTCTGCTTCTTCTGATTCTCTTAAGCTCTGAGAAAGAAAAAATCGACATCGAATCAACTTCAAAAAGTTCATAAATTCTTGGGAAAACCATGCACATAGAATTTTTTTGACTGGTTGGTGAGTGGTTGGCATACTCACTGTAAGTGTAAATGGATGAAAATTTATCATGCTTAAAGCCAGCTTTCTTTTTTTTCTTTTTTTTTAAATTTGAGGTATATGAACTTTCTACATGGCACATTGAATTTAGCTTGGCTTAAACAAGTTTACTTAACTTTGTAAGCTTTTATGAGCAAACTCAAATCAAATTTCTATAACTAACTTTTCATTCAGGAAGAACATACCGCATCATAATATATATGTTGGCAATGAAAATTGAAACGAAAATAAGGCGAACTGTACCATTGATAACTAAACGAAAGTACATAAAACAAATATCCATATTTTTACCTTCTCGTAGGTTTTAAAAAACTGCTCATGTAAATTCAAAATGTCAGTTTGGTCTTGTAGTTCTTCTTCCAATCCTATGGCAAATTTATCAGCTTGATCCAACTGGTTAATATTACTGCAATAAAATAATACCAATTTCATATTTAATCATATCGGCGTACCATGGCCTATTGCTGATTACCAGTCCACGCCAGGAATGAGATTCGTTAGCCAGTTATTTGTTTCTGCAACATGGACTTGATGGTGGAGGAAGCCCTAATCGACCAGCAGTTACACGAACCACCATACAGTGGTGTAAAGTCCAGCGATCCTTCCGCACATGATCATCTCCCACAAGATTCGTACCAGCGAACCCATGCAAAGTAATCAAAGCTGAGTTGACAAGCTAATTTCGAACTTTTAGCAAGTAATTCGTGTTGGCAGATAATTGTTCATATATTTGATATTGAATATAAGCAAAAGTTAGCTCCAAGAAGTATCACAATGAGATTTTTCAATTGAAAGATTTGCCATTTGAACTGTGCTTTATCTACTCTACATAGATAAGCCGAACGCATTAACAACTAGGCCATTACACACATAAAAATAATAAGTCTTATTTTTTATTATTGCCAACAGCTAATGAAGATGATTTAATGCCTATTGTTAGGACAACAAAGACCAGTTCTAGTAAGACATTTGCTCATATGAAAAAAATAGAGAGTCAAATATATAAACTTACTCAACGGAGTCTACAGGTTTGTAGTAAGTATAAGGATCAGTTTCTTCTGAATCAAAACTATTACCACGATCTGAAAAATAAAAACGGTAAATTAGAGAAAACTGAATGCCATTTTTGGGAGCAACTTTGAAATATCAGTGATTATAAATAATCAACATGTTACACAATTTATGAATTAAATTATAAAAATTAATCAGAAAGATTTACGGTACATTATAAATGCAGTGATACCTCGGTAGTCGAACGACACACAAACAATTTGATAGTCAACCAAAAAATTTGAGTTCAAAATACTGTGGCACTCGAACAGAAATTCGAAGCCCAACACCAGAGCAGAGCACGCAGCTGTGTTAGATGTCGCCACCTGAACCGCACATCTCTACTGCCTCTCGACAATTTAACAAGCATCAGTCAAGTCCAAATGGTAGCGGGGTAACAAGTGTTGAGAAATTTTTGTGATAAGTAAATTTTCTTGATTTATTTTCCTCCTGTATGCCATCAATGCTCAAAGGTAGAGTGAATGATACAAAATAGTTTATATTTTATGTTTAATATGTTAAATGTTTCTTATGTACATGTTAAAAGGATTGTTGTTTAGGTACACTTATAATTAAGTTTTTGGGTATTTTGGAATGCGTAAGAACAGATTAAAATGATTACCATTGTTTCCTTTAACGAAAAAAGCTTTGGTACTCGAACAAATTGGTAGTCGAACACTAATCACGAACGAATTATGTTCAACTACCGAGGCATCACTATACAGCATAATATTAATAAATGCTGTCGAAATCTATCTCCATAACAATGAAAAATATAAAATGGAAGTGTTTTGACTATAACAACCTGTTTCACTTCCTCTTAAACTGTGAGTTGTGAAAGTTAGGTGTTGAGTCAGATCTCTAATGAACCTAGATATCCAACTTCAGTTCTTAGTTTTTAGGAAAAATTAGATTTCAAAAACATGATCAATAATGATATTCTAGTACAGTGGTTCTCAAACTTTTTGGGCCGCGCCCCATTTTAAAGAATTTGTCATGTCTCACACGTATCACCTTAAAAATAACTACCGTAGCTAACAATAAGCTACAAATAACACATAGTTAAAGCGAGGTACGTTTTATTCAAAAATCACATTGAAAATATGTGGAAGGAAGCACAATCTTCAAACCAGACATGGGCATAGTACGACCTGCAGGCCAAATCTGACCAGTTGATTAATCCAATCTGGCCAGTCTGAAGCGGCCACAACCAAACTGAAATCAAATTTTGATGTTTCAGCTAAAATAGCTCAAAGAATCTGTTGAGATTGCGGTCAGATTTAGTTTTGGCACGAGGCTTATTGATTTCCACCTTTGCTTTGTAACACTGTAAATATTGTTCATACGATGTAACTTTTTACGTCACACTCACATGGCCCGTCAGTCTGAGTAAGCAAAATTTTTGGCCCCTGGTTTAAAAACCTTGCCCACCCCTGCTCTAAACTATAAAGAAATGTGAATACCCAAAATGAGCGCACAAGATCAAATCTAAGGCCCACCGTTTGAGAACTCCACTGTTCTAGTACATTGTTGATATTAGAGATGTTGAACCAGGATAAATATTCATGTTTCCTTTATGTTCTCATAACATATTTTTATTTAAAAATTCGAGCTTCAGCCTAGATCACAATTCAGGAACGCCTTAGTGACAGATCACACAATATGTGGCAAATCGCAAAAACAGCTGAATATTTGAGTCAAATGTCTTTCTCTTTATAAATCACAGAAGCAATATTATATTTTCTTTACGAAATGCCTGTCACAAGTTTTTTTTACTATGATGAAGTAGACAAATTTCAATGGCCTATTTATCTTCATCTCAAAGCTAAAAAGAATAATTTTTCTAAGACTAGGCAAGTAGACTGGCTACTGGAAAGACAACCCACTCAATGTTACACTCGATGATAAGAAAAATCAATATATCGTCAAATTAAAGAGATCTGTCTGCTGTAAATCAGAATCTTTTTTCCATTCCTTTGCACCTTACCTATGGATTTCCTATAAACAGCTCTTTTTATTTTATATTTAACTCCCTTTTTTCCCTTGTCATATCGATTAAACCCTTCAAGCAAAATGATTATAGAATCCTCAATAACTATGTCATTTTTCCGATGTATCTGAAAGCTTCACAGAACTTAATTAAGATGAAATACTACTGAAGAAGAAACGGAAATCTAAACTGATATCTGTGATAATCTAGCATTACTAATGCTGTGCACATACATAGGGATCTAAAATCTATCTACCAAAAACATATGCTGCTATAGCTAAACAACACGGCCATCTAAATATCCATCTTTAGATTGCTTGGTTAACGATTAGCTTTGGACAAATAAATCGGGGCGTTTAAATAGTAATATTAAATAATGTAGACACACAAATTTGATTCAAAAATATGCCGGCATGAATGCGGATTGGATGGACAAACACAACCAACCAAAATTATTGATGGTATTGACCACAGGCACACAATATAGGATATCATATCTTGAGAGCACAGCATAGTGTGTCTACAAATTTGAAAATTTTTGAAACTTGTTCTATGATGTCAGCTAAAATCCTATGCAAATTCTTGTAAGAATTTTTCTAATTGATATTATTAATATATGACATATATAAATAAAAACAGATCTTCTCAACTTTAGGCGCTAAATGAGGATTTTATCAATAAGCTTAAACTTGAAATAATGAAGGATTTAATTCCAAAGCCAAATTAGTCTGAATTGGTTCGAATTAGTTTAATAAAAAGTTCCTGCCTTATAGCATATGAAAGTTAAAATACTTTCGAGTGTATCTGTCTCTTTAGGCATATAATATATAAAGCATTAGTATATTGTTAACAGATGACTGATACCTGGAGTATGGCTGATATGTGCTGGAGAACTATCAGAACGTAGTTTCATGCAATCATTTGGCAGATAGTAGGGATCATCAATTTGCTGGAAATATAAAACAATGTAAAAATATAAGGTAACGGCATTCCATGATACATTAATAAAATCATTTTGTGGCAATGAATCTGCAAGGAAGTTGCTAATTATGAAAAATTACTCGTCGTTCATATTTTCCCAGTCTGTGATTCACATGTGACTTTTGTAAAAGTTTCTCATGACCATATCCAATGTCTTCAATGACATATTTAGAAAAGTAAATCAAGAGATTTCCGCGATTCCGGTAACTCATCAACCGCAGGGACAAAAAGACAAAATTAGAACATGTCACAACACTGACACAATACATTATGCCAATTTCATTGAATACCAGAAATCTGTTTCAGTATTTCATGATTGTTGAAGTCTCAACAATTATTTAGACATCAATATGCAATATGTAAATGAGTCACATAAATTTTATCTCATAGTGTTTCTCTGGCGAATGAAATCATCTGAAGTATCGGAACACAGTAAAATACCAAGTATGACTTCATCGACAGTTTCAATATATCTACATTCAGTACATTGTTATGCTAAATTATCGAGCTAGCATTTTAATGACTTATGTTCAGGAACATAGGGGTTAATATAATAAGACTTAATGTAATGTAATAGTAACTAGTAGTAACAAGTAATAGTATGGCAATCAAAGATGAAGATACTTTGAAAAAAAAATTAAAATTCAAAAGTAACATTTGTCATATGACATAATTCGAGTTTGACACTTTCCAAGAATCATATAAAGAACAGGGTAACAAATTGGGCAAGCTAGATCAGCATTGTCCACTTTTAAACGATTATCTCTACAAATATGAGAGACTGCATTATGAGACAATCACTGGAAAAATTGCAAGAGTCATGTAAATGAAAATCTAATACTAAAAAAATTAATTTTGTTTACTAAAGCATGTTTTTTCACACAGCCCATCAAAATGGGATATGAAAAAGTATTTGAACAGCAAACATTACCTCAGTACTATAGACCTTACAAGAACAACAATAAACTTTAAAAACCTTCATCAGCAGCACCTCTGTCTATATCACACAAATCGTGTGCAAAATGATGTAAGCAAAAAAAAAACATTTTGCAACTGTAGTGATGTTCAATATGATTTATTAGGTCATTTGTTGCATTGCATTTCGAAAACAATTATGGCCTTGGGCATTCTTATTTTATTAACTTTTCTGTCAAGTGTCAAAATGGATACCAAGATTGATTTAGTATGATATGCAACTTTCACCATGTAATGTTTGCAATATTTTGAGAAAGAGGAATGTATTTGGAATACTGAAATATAGATTTCAGTAACATTTTTTTATGTGCAGTTTGAATTCGTCACAAAAACAATCAACTCAGAATTTTATCCGTAAAAGATATATAAATGCAGGGCACCATGAAAGTATTTTTAAATTCAGAATGTTCAAGGCGATTGCAATTAAGATATTGCTCTTATTAGACATTCAAAATCCCATCGAATTTTTTTACAAAATTTTTGCGAAATTTCGCAAAAAGTGAATTGAAATTAATTATATATTATAGTACAAATATCGCATGTACTCAATCACAACAGGAATCAACTAAAAAATAAAAAAAATGTGTACATAAGGAAAGTCTGTATATTGTCTAACCAGTCTTGGAATGCTTAGCTATGTCTACATTTCTTGATCAATACTTGACGCAATAGGCAGAGATGTCTGCATTTATAATAAAAATGTAACCTTCAGATGAACTTTAGTAGCTTTCAATAACCAGTACTAACTGTAAGAAATATATTAAACATATAACTGGTCTTACATCGACGCTAGGTGAAAATGCAGGACTATGAAATCCAGTTGAAGAGGAGCTACTCGGAGTCCTTGGTTTATTTACTGTGGCATATATATAACTTTCCTCTTCTATAGATGGATGTTCACCACTGTCTTTTCTAGGTGGATTGCGAGGACTTGGCTGTTGTAGATCACCTGTAATATGTTCATTACAAATATTTAGTGGAAAATATAGATTATATTTTAAAAAAAAATTAGTGTATAAAAAAGTCACTTTCTGAGTGGAACTGACATTTAGTAAATTATGGTACGAACTACTACGCCATAAAGCCCTATGAATGTCCTAAGTCAATGGTTCTCTTTCAAGATACGTGGGCCCCATTTCAAAGACTTGTGATGTGACATTCAAAAATACCCAATTTTTCTTTTAATGTGTCTCAACCAGTTATATTATACGCTATGTTAAGGAATACAAAGCCAATAAATGATAATAAAAGAATAAATGCATTATAGTCAAAAAATTAAACAATTCACATCCCATTTACTTCAAATTAAAATGGTCATCACAAATGGTACCTAACTAAAGCCTTTTCTCATGGCCGCCACAAAACTGACCCATGACGAGGTCCCAGTTTGAGAAACCCTGTCCCAAGTAATTATCTCTAACAACATGTACAATCGATTAAACAATTATTTTAGGAATTCGGGTAATTGAAATGATTGCATTTTTATGAAAAATTCACCATCTTTGCACATAAATTATCATTTATTTCAAATTTAATATGGCTCAAATAAACACATATCATGATTTTCTTATAAGTACTAATACACTTATACTACTAAACTTATCAACTAAAAAAAATTTAAATTGAACTAAGACACATTTCTATCGGATTAATAGGATATGAAAATCCTTGAGCACAACCAATATACCGTACATATTAGCCGACCTCGAAGTATAGAAGAATAAAAATGTAGGGAGAACAACACTTACGACTTGCTCCAAAATAAGGACGAGCTGAATTGATTCTCTTGATATTACTTTCCGCTGGAAATCTTCTCTGTGCAACAGGTGACCTCGGACTAAATATAACAAATAATTAACAATTTTCAACAGTCGTTCAATAATGTACATGATACCCATCAGGTATATCCATGTAGAAGAGAAATAAAGCATAAGTGATGTTAGCAAAACAATGTAATTTCTCAGCGATTCGAACCAGTTGTGCTATATTTACTCAAAATGTAAAATATATAACTCTCAATCCTAACTAAATGATTAATAAAACAATATTTAACATAAATTCTCAAAATCAATTCAATCAAAGACTAAAACACTTTTCTAGTCATTCTCAAACTTATTATAATCAGTACCAATCTCAAATTAGTTACATTGTAATTACATAAGCACATCACACCAAACGTTCAAACAAAAACAATTTATAAATCATAATGTTATTTAAGTAATTAATTCACAGTGCAGAATATTAGATTTTACAAGACTGAAAACAATTAGTCACCAAATTAGTCATGAAATTAAAAATAATAAAATGTATATAGAATTCTTGTGCTGTTAATTGTCAGGAAATGCAAATCAGTTGTCAAATATCAAAACATAAGACCATAAAGAAGCAATTTATTTTACTAATCCAAAGATTTTTGGACAAATTTTTATTTTGGACAAATTTTTATTTTCTCAGACTCTCAGTAAAGACCGTTTCTGCTATTGTGCAAATTTTTTGGCATACTATAACAAACAAGAAAAACGCTTAACAGCAATACATTATTAGTTGTGTTGTTAATAAGTTTAGTATAATATATGATACAGCTAATTTTACCCCCAAAAAATGCGGTCTCCATTCAGTGAATATTTGAAAAAAAAAATTTTTCCTAAACGACACTTTCCATATTGAAACCATATTTTGAATTATGCTTTTATTCGATATACATACCCTTTTTCGAAAGCTGTGCGAGACCTGTTTACAAGGCCTTGGTAACCGTCTTCATAATCAGGTTGATTTATACTAATCTGCTCTTTTTCCAACAACTCAACTAAAGAAAACGAGGAACTTTGGGGCCTTTTTTGACTCCTTTTCAGAGTATCTTCGTAATCTTTACGTTTTTGTGCCACAAGACCTTTATGAAGTTTCTCTGAGTCAACTGTATCTTGAGTGGGGCTTTTTAGTTGAGGCTGAGGTGAGGGGGAACGTTGAGAGTTACTTTTATTACGCTTCCTCACAAAACCAAAAAATGATGGGGAAGATCGGCCTGATGAGTTATTTGATGATGCTTTTTTACTTATTGCTGGGATATGATGAAGACCGACATCTTGAAGGGGGTCACTGGTGCGAAAAGGGTGAAGGGGATCAAAGCTGATTCCGATATGAGTTTTATTTCTTGGTGATCGTGGTCGGCCAAATTTCTTCTTTTCAGACTGTTCGTGTGACTGCTTGCTCAAAACTTTTTCACGTATACTGTTATATTAGTCAAACATGTTAGTAATTGTGATTTGTCAGTGAGAGACGAACAATCAAAATTCAATAATATACATGCGTGAATTAACATTAAAGTTGGCAAATATGAGAAATATAATAGCCAAGATATCACCAAATATCCCCTTTTTCATTTAAGTTTAATACATTTTTTAAATAAATATATCAGTATATTGAAGAATTTCAGATGTAAATTTTGATGTTATATACTATTCCGATTAAAAATAAGATGATTACTGAAATTCAATATAAATGTTAATAACATAGAATTTAAACTGACAAAACATATGGACTAAATCACCAATAACATAGAATTTAAACTGACAAAACATATGGACTAAATCACCAATATCCCCTCTATATAAATATCAATTTGATACCAATTTGATGGGAATTACGAGGAGGTATTCTTGAAATATTTCCATCGAAGTAATTATCTACACAGATGCCAACTTTAATTTTTGATGTTAAATAGATTCATGCATAATCATGTATTGGAAATTTTTCATCACCCAAATATAAATAAAGGTGATAATGTGTAAATCACTATCACCAACACTTTCCAAATAATTTCACTCGAAGGTAAAAAAAATTATATAATAAAAAAACTACATACGCATGAGAAGACGCAGGTGATGATTCTCTCCTTTTTAAACCAGGTCCAGAAAAACTACCATCATTTGAAAATGGATGAAGATAACCTGTGCAAAAACATATCATGCATTATAGCCCAGCCAATATCATAGATACTTTATTTTATTGCAGAAAAAAATTTAAAATATCAATGTTAGTTTGTACCTATATTTAATAACATAAAAACAAATTAACTGCCCTATTTGACAACTTGATTATTTCCATTTCAGTTGGTCAACTCACTGTATTCCAATAATAAAATCATTAATATTTTATAACATTGTACCACAGAAGGAGCTACATTTCTATCAGACTTTCAATAGTGCTAATAAAACAATATATTTGATAAATCATATGCAAAAAAATGTTTTTTTAAAGAGCTAAGCACTTTGGGCATATTGTGTACTTGAAAATATATTCCCATTCTCCAAAAATATAAAATTATTTGAAAGCCTTAGAAAGATTAAAACCTATTAAATGATGAGGTATAAATCGATTGTTATCAAAATCCTGAACATTAAAAATTGACAGAAAATTCCATGAAGAAAAACTTGTTTTAGGCAAAACTTTGTAGTGTAAAAAATGTAATGAAAAAATCCATTACATTCAACCAAAAACAAAGAATTGAGTGTATTTTTAATTTTAAAGTCAGTGATGATAGCACTTCATAATTAACAGCCCTCTTTATTCAAAATTTTTTTCACCTTCCTCCGTAATAACGTAAAACTACATCAATAAAATAGTATCATCGGCTATCTGTAAAATATAATTATCTTACCACTAGCTGCTGGAGGGTCAAGAGGTTCCTCCTCCAAATTAGGAGGGAGTTCCTGGGTTTCGAGATTTACTATCTTCAGTCGAGGAGCTTTATTATCCGAAAAAAAGGAATAGGAAATTAGGCAAAATTATTAGTACTGAAATTTAGAAACATTTCATCTGTAATATGGAAATCCCAGTTTTTTTACCAGTAAGGAAACAACAATACTGCAATTGAAACATGGGCAGGAGCGTGTCAACTCTTCTGCTGCCCGGGGCGAGGTTCTGATAGTGATGCCCCTTTTACTTAACTGCAAAAATGACATGGGGGCTAAATAAATTATGGATGTAATATGTGAGAATAAGTAAATTTAAGGTTGAGTAAGAGTGAAATGTTTGAATTATTTTTGTTTAAATCATCAAACAGAGTAACGAACTCACCTCTATAATTTGCTGCCTGAAGTGGCTGCCCCTACGGTCCCCTATAGACACATCTCTGAACATGGGCATGGTGGGCAGTGGCTCAGTAGGTAGAGTATTTGACCAACTATGATGACATTGTGGGCTACACACCTTGGGTTCAAATCTCATCACTTACCGTACTAATGTACTACCTCACCAATCTGCCAATGGCAGCATAATTGAGTAACCAAAAAGATTCAACTATCTGACTATAGTACAGTAGTAGCTCCTTATCTAGCAGTGCCTGCTTGTACAGATGATTATTAAATAAGCAAAAATAGTCTATGTCACGTAAAGAATTATCTCACCTTTATTAGTGTCGTTTCTTATCAAAGCAAACCAATCATTGAGTACAGACAAGGGTATTCGAAAAGATTCTGTTAATTACAAAATGGATTATATGTTTAAATCACATTTGATGCAATAGTTGGCTATAATTGTATATCAAAGTATCAGTCTGTCAGTGTATATCTACTGATCGAAGTTACTGGTAGGTGGGTACTGGTACATCTGTATACGGCAGTATTTTTTTTTGGGGGGGGGGGGGGTTCAATTTATAATTTAAAAAAAGTTTTACATTAGTCAAGTATGATAGTCATGCAACTGCAAACTGATGAGCAATTATTCATTGTTTCATCAGCATGGACGGAATACTGGAATATCAATCAGTTATCATATTTCTGTATTTAGACTAAATAGATTTTATTGCATTTATGGATTCATCCTCTAATTATTATTTTTAAAGGTTTATAGATCCAAGGATGGGTAAATTTTGCTAAGTTAACACGAGAATTCACTGAGCATCATAGTTACCGTACCGGTACCGTACAGAATTCCGAATTCAAATCTCTACCGCAAATTCATGCTACCGGTATGACTTTATGGACGGTCATGCTTACAAGTAGAGAGAGAGAGAAAGTGAACACTATTAATAAACATAGTAACCTACAATAACGGAAATTTTTGTAACTTAGTCTATCTATAAACACCGCAAACCCACTCAATCCACCGCAAACCCACTCAATCTATCATAGCGGTGACATACCAGCATACGGTATTAAAACACTAGCGTAGAATACGGGTATGCAAACTACCGCACACAGGAAATCGCGAATGGTAGACTATCTGCAACATTCTGTGTAGTATGTGTCCCAAAAACCAATCCTAGCTATTTATGCCAATTTATATCCATAAATAAACAAGGCAAATGCACTTAGGCAGGGCTGCGTAACCTTTGACCCCTAATCAAGTTTCGAATATTCACGGAGTCGTAAAAATATTTGGCAAGTTGCGGACTGTTATGGATTTGGATCCAGGTAGTGAATTTTTCAGGTTAAAATCCTTCTTTGTAAGTTATTTCAATTTAATAGATTTATTTTTGTTTCGACTAGATATTTTTTGTCTCAGATAAACTAGTACATAATACAATCCTTTCGATGATTTCAATAATTTCAAAGACGTTTATTTACTCGTTGAAGAATTCGACACGCAGATGTTAACGACGAATGAAACCATCTCATATCTGGATCTTCACTCGCTGATAATCCCTCCTAATTAGGCATCTGTATACGCCAGCAGTCGCGTGCGCGTGCTTTCATGTTAGGGCCACGAGGCCATTCTATCAATGCCTAGTTCAAAATGTTTTTTGAATATATTACCCCCCAAAAGTATAGCTGAAAATGATGATATTTCTGAATTATCTCGTGCATTTCAATTCATCGACCAATTACAGAACTTAATGTTTGACAGTTCGTCATATTGTAGCCTATCTGTTGCATTTTACCAATTTGGGAGGACAATTGCGCGATGGAGCCGGCAGTTGAGCCAATAGCTATTACCTTTACTGTTATCCAAATTGCGACAACATATATATTTTTTTTTCTCAGAGCCCCAATGAATACTCTCACGAGTCACATGGTTCTCGCGCTGTTTGCCCACTGTTGTCTGAGATAACGCTTCAAAAATTTTCAACAGCTATATATGTACTAAATTAAGCGTGTCATAATTTAGCGAGGTATGTTTTTTTAACAATTGTAAATGTATAAGAATAGTAATTGTCGTCAATACACTCACCTCCGGATATGAAAGCTGTTGAATAGCGATCCTTGTCTTTATCTAGTTTCATCTTTCCTAGGTTTTGATCAAAATTTGGCGAAGATGATACAGACTTCAAACTCGGTTTCAGTGGAGGACCGATAAATGCTGTGACATCGGTAACGGCCCTGGGCCTCACAACCGTGTCTTGGCCATCTCCGTGGAAGCCGTGTGGAGCATACGACGATAGCGTATTTTCTCTTTCACCATCTGTATCTCCGGGTGTAGGACTGTTCCCGATATAACTAGTTGGTCTTCTGTTTTTCTGATTATTTTGGCTTGAACCACTATATACCACAGACGAAGGACGGTCATCCCCATTATCACCTCGATTATCTGGACGGGATCCTCTCAGTTTAACGGTGTCATTATTATCCTTCTTTTTGCGCTGCTGCGCCCCGAATTTGAGCATGCCCAAGTCTCAATATTTTCTAAACTCCGTATTGTAGTTAGGAAAGTAGCTTTTTAATATATACAGAAACATAACATACCCTGTAAGTAAAATGTTTTAACAGCTATATAAATTTTAGGTCTACTAGGAGCCTGATTGCATTTTAGTCTTTTCTTGTGAGGTTACACAGTAATGCATATGTACATATATGTCTATATATTGCAAATACCGCAATCGTTCTTCATTAGAATATTCTCTAAATCAATCTGTGATTCTGAGTTCATCAAGGCAATAATTCCGGTAAAGTTTGAAGAGTCATTTTGTAATTGGTAGTAATATTTACCAATAATGCAAAGATTATAAAAGGGCATACCAATTGGTAGGCTCACTCCACACAACTTATATATATACCTGACTCTGCTTACTGCGTACCACTACACCAATGAAGGCAGTGATACGGCCATGAGTAACAGCATCGCAACATCTCGTTATTTTACGGTTTTCACATGTTTTAGCATCTCAACTATTTTCATTCTGATCTGGGGTGAAAGCCGTTTTGGCATGACAATGATTCCCGGCGCATAACCTTTTTCAACAACACGAGTGCAACATATTTATTTGGGTGAGAAAAAATCTATGAATCCATTGCTGTACACAGTGGCGTATCTACGGTGTGGCAGCCATGGCTCGTGCAATGGGCGCCGTTTGAGCAGGGGCGCAAAGACTGCAAAAAATTATTAATCATGAAAGGTTTCAATGAAATAATTTCAGATTGGGAATAATTGAAACTCGTATTTTTACTCAAATAATAACGTACAAGAACCTCAATTCAATAAGAGTCATTATAAATTGTCAAACAACTATCAAGGGGCGCATTTTTAGACTTTGCCATGGGCGCCATTCTACGTAGATACGCCACTGGCTGTACATACTAAGTATAGAAAACTATTCCTTATAAAAAGGGTATAATACATCTGATAGAAAAAAAGCAAACAAAATCTTAATATATCTACGCAGATTTTTAAATCTTCACTAATGTATGAAACACTGAACTAATCGATAAATCACAATTATTGCTTTGCAGACGCAGTCAACGTCACCAGATATGGGAAAACACCGGATGAAAGGCACAATAAAAAAACAATGGCGAGAAGTTGAGGCTATAAGGAAAAATAGTAGAAAAAAAATAAAGTCAAATTCGGCAGCAAGAATCTTTACAATGATTAGCACAAGTTAACAATTGGGAGCATAATCTAGTCTAGTGTGACAAACACAATTCTTAGCAAATGCAGTCATTATGGGGTATCAATTTTTTGCGCATATATTCCGATGGTATATATCACAACATATATCCCAAAATTTATAAACAAACTAATAAGTGGAATTGTTGAACAAAGCTTAAAACCAACTTTTAGCAATACAAATCATTCAAGTAACATTCCACGGTCGTTTTTCCGCGAAATCTTAATATCGATTCGACCTCATAATGGCACTGACATCGTATAACATCGAGTGATCTTTTTAATTTTATGTACAAGTAAATATTATTAGAGATTTTAAACCCCTGTATTGAAGTAACATTATACCTGAAAATTAGTATGTGATCTTGGACAAATGAAAATGGACTGTTAGTCTGCACTAAAGAAATCTTTTACGCCGCATCCTTTACCTGCACCGTATACCTTGTGTTATGAAAGAAATAGTAACGAACAATAAATAATATTTTCTTTTCATATCAAGTATTGCGTTCATCCATTTATATTTTATGGGATTTACAAATAACTGAATAGCCTATATACATGAGTATGTCTCTAAACTGGAAATGGAAAATTAGAAATAGGACTCGCCACAGCAGAAATAGATGTATATTTCAAATTGTACGGGTACTTTTGGAATATATATCTTCCTGTGTTGGTGGCATAAGATAAGGAAACTGTGAAATATAAATTAGTACTAGCGGTAACAAGGCATGATATACCCTTGTCAGCATGGTAATAAACGGTCCAGAGTGTTGAAACTAACAAACTATAACTAAACTATAACAGAATGTTCCACACTAATAAAAATAAATGATTTTATGAGGCCATGCTACACGAAGCTAATAACTCTAACTGAATGACCTACGTTATACCATACTCCACGTCTATATTGTGCAACTTCCGCGTGTTTAAATTATCTGACTAAGTTTTGTGAATACATCTATATTATTACACTAAGTAATTCGTCCCTGAATTAAGTTAAATCTCACAGTATGTCATGGCTAATTTCATACCGGAGAGACACAGTCTACTGCTCTATCCAGTATAATAGTAAGTACATTGTATACAATATGTAACGCCATTGCAAAACTATCTATTGATCAATTACGCAGCAATTTTGTCGGCGGAAGCCGGTGACGCAAAACCATGTTTGAAACTCGCATGCGTCTATATCTATAGCTGGAATGGAATCCTGCGGCTCAGGAGATTGGAGATGAAATTGTTTTACTTACTCATTTAAAATGGCAGTTAACTTCTCGTGATATCAACTGTATATAAAACGAAAAATATTTTGCGCCAATGCTTGTTACTCTAGTTTAGAATATGTTAGTGTGTAAACTATAAAGCCTACGTCAACTTTTCAACTTCTTCGTTGTCATAATGACGGAAAAGCGTTCATATCAAAACGAATCAGGGTTGAAAACGATTGAATGATAATCTTAATTTTGGCGCGTTATACTTCACAGGGGAATCATCACGACGCATTAGTACACTTTTATAATTGGCTTTAGCAAGACAGCTAGAATTCAATGTAATATGAGCAACATTCAACCGAGACTTATAGTCAGAACGGAAGCTGGACAGTTCAACGCACTGACGCTCTGTCACCATTGATTTGCTATGACATGACTCAGATTGCAGTCTGGAGATTTTATTCAGCACAGTATGCGTTTACGTGGTTTAATTGCATTAGATAATTTATATATATATATAACAATTATGTTCCTTAGCGGTATGGCCGGCTTACCTCTGTCGTTGAATAAATCAGTGAATTTGAATATCTGCCATGTGACAACATGCTAGAAATACCCATATAGAAATTATGAAATAATCATTTTGGGGAAAGGTAATAAGTATATATATGCGTGCCTGAGAACAAATGTACTTGGATTAAAGCCGCGTGTTCATCGCAGCGTATGCTGAATATTATTCCGGAAGTACGAATTCAAATTTGATGACGTCACACTAGGTAACCTCAAGTGATGTCATTGCATTCTCATGAATTTGTGTAATATCTTGGAATATTCCGAGAAGAGATACCCCCAACAGCGTGGATTAGACAATGAAAGCAGTTATTCACATGACCAACCACCATAGCCCAACCACCCCAAGATTTTGTTAATTTTTACCGTTCATTGATGTATTTATTCTTCACTGCTGTTGACTATATTAGGATATATCAAACAAACAAGTTTGGAAATGAGCCCTTAGAAACTGTTGTTTGGCTTGGTTAAGTATAAGCCTCGAAGGTAACATCTCAGTGCTTCAAAACAAATTTGTGAACTACAGAAGATGTTCTTTGGGTGATTCCAGTTTGTAACCATCGTAACGTATGTACTCGTGTTTTATCACTCCAAGTCCAATGCCTTCAATCGGCAACTGATTTCATCAATTTGCTACTGCATCAAAACTGTTTAAACTAGCTATGAACCATATGTCGACTGCTGTTAAATACCATTAGTACAGAACAATGATGATGGAGTACAGCTGTAGGATGTCATTAGAAAAATCATTGTTACAATTTTCGCCGGCTAACTAACCCTGAACATTAGTAAACTACAAATGAACTCGATCCATACCGGATGAAATCTTATCATTAGGAAGTATATCCATTTCACAATGTGCATGAAATTTGAATGTTACGCTCTTGTGTGATTGTTTGTTTTCTTTGGAGCACCAACACTTCAGAAATACATACGTAAAGTAAATGAATGAAATAATATTGGAACACATGGACTCGATTAATTCTAATGGCATTGCAACTCTTATTCGAAGATCTGAGTAGTATAATACACGCACATCGGCTTCAATTTTGAATTTCGATAGGAATCGAATAGATAACTCGGCGACAATGTTCGAACTACATACAATGGAGAACAAGAATATCACATTATTTGTCCTATGATATGTTTAAATCATTTCTCACTTGAATATAAAAATATCTGTGCCCTCATTTTAACTTCTATTAACTGAAAACAATGCCTCAACTTCAATACACTTACAATGTCCTATTTACAAATCTTATACAACTTCTCTTGAAAAATAAAATACAAACTCTCGCATGTAACTGAATCACCTAAATGTAATTCAAATGCATCTGACCAAGCGTTCTCTTTTTTCACTCGGTCATGCGGCGTGAATATCGTTCTCCATAAAGTGTGGTATTGCGGAGTAGCTCGCTCTCTGACGCATAAACGGAAATTGCTTTATCCTAATAGCTGTGATGAAAAGAAACCAGCCATTACGTTAACACGGTATAGGCAATGAGTGCATGTATGTGCCAGCATCCTCGCGAAAGTGCGCGTCTCTATTAACATTGCAGACCAGTGTGATAATTTGTTTGAGACTCGCCGCGCGATGGCGCTCGATACTGTATATTGTGGATATTGAACATGTCCGCAGTGGATGTAGATAAAAATAACAATAATTTTGGCTTCGCCGAGATTGAATGTCTTTTTAGGAAACTGTCAAACGTTTTTAAACCTACTTTGTGTCTTGCTCGCTAGTCGATTTTATTTATATAAATGTACAAATAAGAACAAAGTTCAATAACTTTTTTTAAAAATTTTGATATTAAATAAGAAATCAATATTGGCACTGAAAAAGGAAAAACACAAACGTTGAACAAATGAAAAATTTCTGGTATTTAAAATTTAATAACTGTGTGTGCATATCAAGTGCATATGACTAATTGGTATTGTTTAGCATCGTTTATTGCGTTTGTATTTGATTATTACTGCAATACTGTTTTATCTTATAAAACCTGATAAAAAAAATGTACAATAAATATCTGCGAGATGAAAACCATTCTTTAATCGGAAAATAGACAACAAGACTGTTTT